AATAAAATGTAAAAAGTTATTACATTCTTATATTGATAACGTATAAAAAGGCTATAGAAAGTTTTCAATTAACAGGTGAAAGGAGAAGGGAATGTCTTTACAAACAAACTCTGACTCTGGGGTGAGATAAGGCTGATACTGGGAGATAAAAAAGAAACCATGGGAAGGATTTCCATAGGAATTCCACTGATTGACTTATCCCAGACCATGTAAATAAACTACCAGAGCAGAAACACAGAGATGTAAACTGAAGGGGGGGGGGAGGGCAATGTATGATACAAGGGGGGTTTCATCAGGCATTTCGGGGAGCCTGTAACTCTCAAGTACCTCAGCCAATGGGGGAAGAGAGAGGGAACCGAGGCCGGGAAATTGGGATAAAAAGAGGCTGCGTCCTCCATGAATTTGAGAGACCCCATGGGAAATGCCCATTCATGAATAAAGTTGCGGGACTCCTCTGTCTCCTTTTTGGACATAAACCTCTGGTGCTTGTGGATTAATTTTCCTAACACAGGCCTCATAAGCACCTTGTCACTCTTATAAACCACATATATCACCGTTCAGGCCGGTGTCACCTGTGGGGCCGGTGTCCTCTATGGTTTCTGGACGGTTCTGTGGGGCCTGGAGAGTCGCGGGGAGCGCCACTGTCGCACAGCGCTGCCCGCGCAGCTCCGTGAGGGGAGCGGGGGCTGCAGTTTTCACGGGCCCCCTTCCCGCTCGCTACGAAAGGCGCAGACGGCCCCTCCGACTCGGCCACAGTGCGAAATCGCCCCGAACATGAGAAATTTGTGTCGGAGTTTYCGGCAGGCTCTCTGAGCGGATTCCAAATTGGAGTCGTCCTATTGCATTGCCACACTCAAGATGGCGGCCGCGCGACACGGTGACGCTCCTATGCCACACCTCCTATGGGGACCTCGCTCCGGTGATGGATATCTGACGGGTCGCCTGAGCTCGAAATGAACTCCGGGGCGACTCCGTGGTTTTTACGCGGCTTTTCCCCGTGGGGGGACGCGTCTCGTGGTGTCGGCGGCCCCGGGGACGGYGGGGTTTTCAGGGCGGCAGCGGGCAGCAGTGGCTGCAGTGTGCGCTCCGCCAGGCGGCGCTGTGGCGGGGGGTGCGGTTTAAATCTCCGCCCAATCCTCGGGTGGARAAAAAAAAGAAAAAAAAAAKAAAAGAAAAAAAAATACATGAATGAATGAAAAGAAAAAAAAGCACTGTAACCATTGCCCTGCTGTGAAAAATAGGGTGACCTTTTTGTGTGAAGTTGTGGCATGTCTTGATGGTATCTGGAAGGTCTTCTTTTTGATGAGAATAGAGAGACATTTTTTWATTTTTATCGTGTGAGAGTGCATTTTGCATATTTATTTACTTTTTTTATGTATGTCTTCTTTTTTCTTGTGGGGTACATTTTTTTTTCCTAGTTGCTGTTGAAATACTATTTCTTTGGAATTCATTTGGAATGTGTGGTTAGTCATTGAGTGGGTAATTTTTTGACTTGGGTTAAATAGTAATAAATGTTGTATGCTTAACTGTTGTGTCAAAATTTTCCTTTATGTGTTTTTGTGTCGTATTTGATGGCTTTTTAGTTGTTAGCTTTATTTGTTTCCTGTGCTTTTAACCTTTTTTGTGAGTGTGTATTGGTTTGTGTTGTCATAAAGTGGGTGATATTTGGTGTGAGGTGTGTTGCTGGGTCATTTTTATATGTTTTAGGTGAGAAATGTGTGGGATTTTATTTTTTAATTCTTGCCCTTGCCTCTTTTTTTTTTTTTTTTTTTTTTTGGTGTACAGTGAAAAGGGAAGCTGTGATTCCTCACAGAAACTTCTAAGAATGCAGACATGTATGTGCTTTAACAATATTACATAAAGCCTTAAAAATGCTCTAAAACTAGCCTAAAAATGCCGTAAAAAAGCTCTGAAAAAAATCTTTAAACTATGCCAAAGAATCCTAAAAAAGCAAGCCCTGAAATATTTTTACCATGTTTTAAAATACTTTTTAAAATAATGTAAAAAATGTTTAAGAAGTCCTAAGCAAGCCTTTAAAGCACTCTAAAAAATCCTTTAAAAGCTACAAAAATGTACCTAAAAATTGTGAGATATCCTTACAAAGCCCTGGGAAAAAAAAAAAATCCCGCACTAAACAATCCTTTAAAAATCTTAYAGAAACTGCTCAGCCCCCACCTCCTACCTGTGACACTCTAGCATGCAAATGTGTAATCTGTACCTTTTTGGAGTGTGTCATGTTCTCTTTTGAGGGTTCTGGCATCMTCCTGGTATTAGGATTACTGCCTGCATTTGTTGTGAGGCTTCTGGTGTTGTCCTGGCCCTAGAAATCCCCCAAAAGAACCCATAAAATACAATAAAAATGCTGGGGAAAAAACCTCTACAACCACTCTAAAAAAATTCTAAACATTCCTAGAAGAGGTCTAACAGTAGTGAAAAAATACCAAAGAAATGCCCTAAGCATGTTGTAAATAATCCTGAAAATGCCCTGAAGATCGTGTAAAAAATATCAAAATAACCCTAAAAAACCTTAAAAAGCATAAAGAAGCTCTGAAAAATTTATAGRCATTTACAAGTATCTTAAAAATATCCTAAATAACCATTAAAAATTCTAAATAGTCGTCAAAAGCTCTTAAAAGGCTCTAAAAATACTTTTTTAAATGCACTAAAAAACCTGTAAACAAAGCAAAAAAAGTCCTTAAAAATTGTAATTGGT